CCCGCTGCAATTGTCGCCACCGTCACCATCTCTCACAGCAGCTTGTTACATTAGTGTAACAGAGTCTTGGAGGCATCTGCTAGGCTCCTGCTCGGCTCTGACGTTTCTTTTGACACACCATGAGGAGGAGCCTGAGAGGAAGAACGTATCCCGTCCTACATCGAGCCACGCTTTATCTGAGGTCTGTGTTGGGAGGGGAGATTTGAGTGGGAGGAGCAAAGGGATTTATGGTGGCATTTGTACAGGAAGGAGGAAGGGGGGCTGTGCTGGGAGGGGGATGACAATGTGAATATGGATGAAGATTTCAGAACTCTGCACTCTGTATGTAGCATGATCCTGAACTCTGTACTCTGTATGTAGCATGATCCTGAACTCTGCACTCTGTATGTAGCACCCTCTTGAACTTTGTACTCCATATTAGCACCCACCTGAACCCTGCACTCAGTACGTAGCACCCTTCTGAACCCTCCACTCTGTATGTAGCACCCTCCAGAACCCTGCACTCTGTACATAGCACCCTCCTGAACCCTGCGCTCTGTATGTAGTACCCTCCTGAACCCTGCACTCTGTATTAGCACCCACATGAACCTTGCACTCTGTACATAGCATCCTCCTAAACCTTGCACTCTGTACGTAGCATCCTCCTGAACCTTGCACCCTGTATGCAGCACTCTTCTGAACCCTGAAATCTGTACATGGCACCTTCCTGAACTCTGCACTCTTTATCAGCACTCTCCTAAACCCTGCATTCTTTACAATGCACCCTTCTGAACTATGCACTCTGTACGTAGCACCATCCTGAACCCTGCAGTCTGTATGTAGCATCCTGCATTCTGTACAATGCACCCTCTTGAACTCTTCACTGTGTGCATAGCACCCTCCTGAACTCTGCTTTCTGTGCGTAGCACTCTACTGAACCCAGCACTGTGTACACAGAACTCTCCTGAACCCTGCACTCTGTTCACAGCACCCTCCTGAACCCTGCACTCTATATTAGCACCCTCCTAAACCCTACATTCTGTACAATACACCCTCCTGAACTCTGCACTCTGTGCATAGCATCTTCCTGAACTCTACACTCTGTATGTAGCACCCTCCTGAACCCTGCACTCTGTATGCAGCACTCTCCTGAACCCTACACTCTGTATTAGCACCCTCCTGAACCCTGCATTCTGTATATAGCAGCCTCCTGAACCCTGCATTCTGCACATAGCACCCCCCCCCCCCTTTCCTAAACTGTGCACTCTGTATTTGCACACTCCTGAACTTTGCACTTTGTACATAGCACCCTCCTGAACTCTGACCTCTGTATTAGCACACTCCTGAACTATGCACTCTGTACGTAACGTCCTTCTGAACTCTGCAGTCCATACAAAGCGCACTCTTGAACTGTGCAGGTTGTATGTAGCACCCTCCTAGTATTTAATGCCCCTTAAGACACTACCACACCCATTTGCTGCAGTGGGCTCATCCCCCAATCTCGCCCCCCCACCCAGGGGAAGGTGGGGGACATGGTTGAGTTGAGTTCCTGCACCTGTTCTCCGAGAAAAAACCCTGCTAATAAGCGCAAAAATACCTATTGATCAATTAAGGAATTTAGAGCTGTACTGTGTCTTACAGTATACATAGTTCCTGTGTTATATCAAAGAGCCTATATATATATATTCTTCCCCATTCTTATATTGGACTACAGAATGAATAGCCCTTATGATTTTATTTTTTTCTTGACACACACTTGTGTCTACAGTCATCTGCTGTGCAATTTTAAAGGAGATGGAAAGCAATGTTTGCATTTTTAACTTTATCTTGTGGAGCAGTATACAACTGCTTTCATCGCTATATTTGCATTGATTTTGTTGGCAACTACATGACCTGTAAGCCAGAAAAATATTATAATTTTTACCTATTCTTTTTGTATAGTGATAGTTTTTATTTCAACAACTGAAATCACATCAGATGGGGATATGGATAGAGCCTAGTAAAACTCACTGTGGAGATTGGTTCTTTCTAGCAGTTTGCGATCTCTAGTAATTATACTGTGCAGAGCAGCACAAAAATCATCATTTAGGGCTCCTGCAGATTAGATGCCTTCATTGTCATCACTGCAGACACAGACAGGCTGCAATTGCAAGACAGAGTAAATGTCAACAATGTAGCATTTACACTATCCTGGGCTTGTGATGATTTATCTTAAAGTGCAGAGAAAGAAGTTCACAGTGCAAAGATCACAGGGATCCCCATATATACAGTATTTGAAGATAATGTGTAAAAGTACTGCTATTCTTACGAAGCTTAATATACTGCACCCTCACAGTCTAGGATATGTAGCCTGAAAAGAAAATTGAAATGATTTTGTCTGCAGAAGGACTCTCTGCAGTCCCAATACCTCTTCCCCATCACCTATATTTATCCACATGTGACTAAAAAAGAAAAAGTTGCAAATGCATTTTTGAGCTTCCTCCTGTTTCTCCTCTTCCTCCTCATCTGTGGATGCCAAAGACACACAAGTGCCTTGTAGTAAATACAACTCTGATTATACATACTGATGTAAAAAATTTAAATGAGTTTTAAGCTCACTATTATTCCTAAGGCAACAGTATTTCTCATGAATTAGTGTTTCTTTAATTATGCTGATGACAACACCATTAATTCTGAGTTACTTTTACATTTTTTCTAATGCATAAGCGGCTTCAGATTTACCAGGCCATGTCACCTATTGTAAATTGTATTATGCCTTTTGTATTATTCCTTCATTGCTGTGAAATGCTGCATGGCTTCTACAAAAGATTTACTTATTCCAAGGGACAGGATTAACAAATGGATGAAACGAAAGAAGGAAAACATTCAGAACCCGAACTACACTAAAAAACAATATATCATCTCCCTACATTTATTCTTGTGAATCTCAAGTGGCAGAGCTGTTGAAAATCAATGGGTAATATTTGGGATAGTGGGATGAGTGCTGTAACTCAATGAGCAGTTTTTAGAAAGCCAAATGCTTGTCTAGTCCTCTTTCATGGCAAAGAATATCCTGTTGAAGTGTTTGTAGCTTTCGTTCATAAATTATTGTTATGAGTGAAAAAAAAAAAAAAAAAAAAAAAGAAACCTATTTCGAACAACTATTAATGCTTAGTAAACCCAAATTGCTTTTATTAACTCTTTCATTCTCTGTTTTCCTTTAGCATTATTTTTTTTTTCATCTTTTGTATGTAAATGTTTTTAAATGTACGTTTGTTTGTGTTTTTGTAGTGCCAAATTTAAAAAAATAATGTGTACCTGATTTTTATGCCTTTTTAAAATGAACAAATTACAGAACCAAATCTGTAGTTAACCCTAACTTTTTTTTTAACCTTAAAAATTTTAGTTAACATTTTACTTAACCAAATTCGTTCAACTCTTTCATTTAACAGTTTGTATATAAATGTATTAAACTTGTATTTTTTTAATATAATATATAAATGGTTTTATAATGCCAAATTAAAGTGCTTGAAGGGGAAGAGGACACACTTTGGTATCCTAGTGTGGGTGCTAAAGGACCTTGTCCTGCCACTGAGCTCATGTATTATATACTGAATAGCGCCTTCCAAAATCAAATCAAGTAATGTTAATGCAAATGTAAATTCTTAAAGTTGTATTTTCTCCTGGATGATCGTACAAGTAACACACCTCCTGTATTTTATTGCCCCCTTTCAGGATGAAGTAGCATCAGAGATTCCTTTCTACAGCAGCATTGTCAGTCTGGGGGGTAAGGGATGTTAGATCGACTAGCAGATTTAAATACAATAACAAACTGGAGCCAAACTACAGCTCACACTTTATAAGCCGCTAAAGCAAACATTTTTTCCTTTTGGGATAAAGATTTTACATAAATTTTAAAAAGCTGATCATTGTAAGCACCCCTGTCAGCGTTAAATGGTTTGTCTCAATCCTCTAACTGCGACATCTGTAGGACAGTTTGTTCTGTTGCAAAACAACAGACTACTACTAGCAGGATCACTAGGGGAAAATAAAAGAAAGACATCTTATAAAAGAAAACTAATGTGACCACCATATCTAAGAATTGCAATATAATAAATGTTTGATTTTGGGTTCAATGCTGCTTTATTTAAACGGTCACAAAAAGCACAGGACTTTTTTACAGCTTAGTATAACACACTAAACTAAGGTCAAATTAGGCACAAAGGTTGTAAAAATTAAATGATGCTTGCCACATTCTAGCATGAGGGTCAGCATGACAGTCAGACGACTAGCATTTTCAGTAGTAGAGGTTAGCAATGGAGGACTAAATTTATGCTATATTGCCCAAAGTACTGAACTTTAATGGCATCCCAGTCTTAGTCCATAGGGTTCAATATTGAGTTGACCCACCTTTTGTAGCTATGAGAGCCTCAACTCTTCTGGGAAGGCTTTCCACAAGGTTTAGAAGTGTGTCTATGGGAATGTTTGATCATTCTTCCAGAAGGGCAATTGTGAGGTCAGGCACTGATATCAGACAAGAAGTCCTGGCTCACAGTCTCCGCTCTAATTCATCTCAAAGGTATTCTAACAGATTGAGTTCAGGACTCTGTGCAGGCCAGTAAACTAACTCATCCATGTCTTTACGAACCTTGCTTTGTGCACTGGTGTGCAGTCATGTTGGAATAGGAAGGGGCAATCCCCAAACTGTTCCCACAAAGTTGGGAGCATGAAATTGTCCAAAATGCCTTGGTATGTTGATGCCTTAAGAGTTCCCTTCACTGGAACTAAGGGGTCAAGCTCAACCCCTGAAAAACAACCCCACTCCATAATCCCCCCCCCCCAAAGTTTACACTTGGCACAATGCAGTCAGGCAAGTACTGTTCTCCTGGCAACCGCCAAACGCAGACACATCCTTCAGATTACCACATGGAGAAGTGTGATTCATCAATTCAGAGAACGTGTCTCCATTGCTTTAGAGTCCAGTGGTGGCGTGCTTTACGCCACTGCATCCGATGCTTTGCATTGCACTTGGATGCAGCTGCTCAACCATGGAAACCCATTTCATGGAGCTCTCTACGCACTGTTGTGCTAATCTGAAGGCCACACGATGTTTGGAGGCCTTTAGCTATTGACAGTTGGCGACTTCTGTGCACTGTGCACTTCAGCATGCACTGACACCGCTCTTTCATTTTACATGGCCAACCACATCGTAGCTGAGTTGCTGTTGTTCCCAGTTGATTCCACTTTGTTATAATACCACTAACAGTTGACTGTGGAATATTTAATACCAAGGAAATGTCACAGATGGACTTATTGCACAGGTGGCAACCTATCATGGTACCATGCTTGAAATCACTGAGCTCCTGAGAGCAACCCATTCTTTCACAAATGTTTGTAGAAGCAGTCTGCATGCCTAGTTGCTTGATTTTATACACCTGTGGCCATGGAAGTGATTGGAACACCTGAATCCAATGATTTGGAGGGGTGTCCCAATACTTTTGGCAATATAGTGTATCTTCAGTGACAGGTTTACTTTATTGCTATCTAATTTACTATTAATCCTTTGGATGTGATAAATATTTTTTTCAAGTTTCAAAAACAGGAGAAAGACTGGAAAACTCTGGTTTGGAGAGCAGTGCATTTCAAGATAGGGACCGATTTTTGTAGCCAAATAAACTATAAAGTGTGTCATGATGCCCCAGTGACTGGTGGGTCTGGGAAAAAAAATGTGAATTCCTAAAAAACAGGCTTATGGTGATGCTCTTTTATTTTTACATGAACTTTCAGCATCAATTTCTTTTATGGCTCTCGAGATTTGGATACACTACATATCAGAGCTGCAAAGGAAGTTGGAAGACTTCCCTTGGCCAGACGCTGTGGTCTAAAGTACCTGTTCAAGGTAGGTATAGGATGACCAACATATCACTGACTAAAGCCTCATTTAGACTTGCAGTTGGAGAGCAGCAAAAGATGCAAAGTGGATGGGGATGTTTACATGCCGTGGCCTCGATGTTTCACTTTGCACTCAGGGGAAAGTTGACCTTACATGTAGCACTCGGTGGCAGCAAACCTGCCTAATGCTACATATTCTAGTCAATGAGGAAGGGCCGCAAACCCTCCACATTGCATGCATTGCATTGCACATGGTTGCAGCACGTTTGACTGCAAAAGTTGGGTTAAAAAGGTGGTGATGAGGCATCACATTGCTGCCTCACTGCCTGTCAGTAACCTCTGGAGCGTGATCCACAAGAGCAGCAAGGAAGATTTAGACACATGTCCAAATCTACCCTAAAAGTCTTGCTCTGATAGGTGTCTGAACAGTGGGGCACTCAAGGCATTAGACCAGCATATCTTATTTCTGCTAGACCAGTAGGCAAATATCCTCTAGTCCAGTCCTCCCTGGCATTAAATGTTCACTGCAATATGTGGTAATTAGTGTAAGCACTACATACCTACAGATGATAAAAAGTCACTCAATTACTTATTTGTTGATGCAAAAAAATTTAATTGATCTGTGACGCCAATACTTCAAACTACCATGTCAGTTTTCTGAAGCTAGGAAACAATATACTGGGTTGTTACAATGAGTGTCTAGATCTTCTGAAGCTCTATAAACTCATTTTCTTCATTTTAGATTCCAGAAATTACTATAGTGCCAATAAATATTCTTCCAACTCTAAGTACGCCTTCCATGGCACAGATTAGTACTGGGCTGCTTCCAGGAAATAAGTCTATAGCACAGAAGAATATTCCAGTGTCTTCAGGAATTATTTCTATTATAGAGATAAATCCTCTGTTGTCTCCAACAATGTATTCCATCCTGCAGATAAATGTTCTGGGGTCAACAGGATTCTAATTCTAAAGCACAGGTAAATATTCTGACATTTCCAGGAATTAATTAAATGTGAATAGTCTGCCCCCTTTAGAAAGTTGTTCTGTAACATAGCCGAGAATCCTGGAATCTACCAGAGTTAATTCCAAAGTACAAATGAATATTTTGATGTCTCTAGAAATAATTCGGAAATAATTGCATAGGAAAATGGAATATCGCCAATTGGTTCTTTACTATAGATGAATAGTTTTGTGATACCAAGAGATTAGAGAGGAACTAAACAAAAAAAAATCACAATTTGCTGTTTTATTAGTCGTAACGGCCAGCAGCTACTTAAATGTTGCTGATTATGTCATGTCTAAGATTCTTAGATGCTTCGTGAGTTGAATGAACAGTGATGGCATAATATTTATCTCTCTGCAAATGTTTGGGCAATGCTGATTTTTAGGAATGTTTTAGTGAACAAAAAAAACAACATTGTTTGAAACCAATCCACTGATCTTCATATGTGTCTCCAGTGTCACCAGTTGTTCTGTCTGGTTGGAAGATGTGCAAACCAAGGCGGGCTGTGGTATAGCATATAGTATCTCTAATAAAATCCATTATTTAAAATGTATGTCCAGGCAACATATATATATATGGTTTTTAGGAGTGAACAAAGATACAACATTGTTGGAAACCAATTCACTGATGTTCGTATATGTCTCCAGTGTCACCTACTGTTCTATGGTGGTTGGAAAATGTGCAAAGTTGTGGTATAGCCTATACTGCCTCTAATCAAATGTTTTTGAATAGAATCAGTGTCAGGTTTTACTCCTATCCAGAGCTCTGTTAGAGAGATTTCACCTTACTATTCTAGTGGCAATGGTTTAACCAGACAGAAAGTGAAATAAAAATGTGGTTAGGGAAAGGCTTGAACCCAGGTCATCTTTTTATTGCTGACTGTGACCCACTCTATTGGAGACTGCCTGTTGAAACCATTGTCTAACATAGTTAAATGTTTGCTAGTCTACGGTAGGTGTTATGAATAAAATATTACCTTATTCCTTGATTCCACAGGTTTCTTCCCACCATACGAATAGTCCCATGAAGCCATGTGTCTTTGTTGAACCAGTGATCCTACACTATAGGATATAGAAGAGCTCTACCAAAAGAAGGAAGCAAAAAAGTGCAGAAGAGAGCATTGACTGCTGGAGAAGTGAATAATAAGGTAAGCATTCCTCTACTTGGAAACTTCCTTATTTATTTAGTAGCTCTACTCGTGTAGACGTGTAGGGAACTTGAAGAAAAGGCAAGGAAAAAAAGAGATGTTGAAATCACAAAATATAAAAATCTACTATATATCTATTATGCCCCAAAAATACAGGGCAAGCATATTTCAAAACATAGACATTCCTCACTAAATAAATGTAATTTAATGCAGAATTACACATGATCTTGCTATTAACTTCTCCTATCACAAGTAGGGTGATAGAAATGAATGGCTTGCAGTGAATTCACTGCTGCATTGATACCCCACTCAGGGTGGCTGCCTTGCTTAAGCTGAGGAGCTTTGTCACCACTGATAATCCTCCCCATCACTGCTATCCAGTAGGATGTAGAACAAAACCATGAAGGGTCGAAAGCCTTACTGAATAATCTGCAAAATGTCTATTGAAATGTCTCTAGTGGATTCAAATAAATATGAGGTTTAATCTACATTTAGGGAAGTTTTAATCATCTTATGTAAACAATATCCAATAGGATGCTCTGCATATGAAGTAGATGACGCAGGGCACCCTCTTGGGTCTTGGCTAAAAAAGAATTAATACCTCAGCTGGCAATGTGATTAAATCACAGGGGCAAAGAATAGGGGGCTTTTGCTCGTGGAGATGACGAGTAAAGAAAAAATGCTGATTAGCTTTTACTGGGGAAGCTGCAGTAAAAAAAAAAAATGTTTGGCTAGAGACGGTCATGATCTATGACATGTTCTGGGTCTATAACTCCAAACATATTAAGGCTATTAGGTCTGCATGACAAGCAAGAGACTGGAAATTTTGGAGCAAGAAGTCAGCATAGGTTTCCTTTCAGTTGCGTTCTTTGAAATGGCAGAACAGGCTATACACAATTCAGTACGTGACACTGTGAAACATTTGTGTAGGAGAGGGGGCTACTTATAAATGTTTTAAGGATAAGTTAAAGTATATCTAAAGCCAGTTTTTAAACTTTGAATAAAGTGAAGAATGCATAAACCCCAGTCTGACTTGTAACAAAAAAACAGGCTTAGCAGTTTAGCACAGATCACACTCCCTGGCTTCAATGACAGGTGAACCTGGACGTGATGTAATATACATCGCTTCCAGGCCATTACTCGGTAGGGGAGTTCAGCAGTAGGATGTTCTCACGTCTTCCTGCCCTCTAGCACCTGCTATTGGGTTCTCAGGCATGAAGGTGGGATTGCAGTGTACATCAGTGGCAGTGAAGGGTTAATGAGAAAAGGATAGGCAGCAAAAGATGTGATTTATTTTAATGTAGTATGTTATTTTTTAACAATATTACAATAAATTTGTCAGGAACGCACTAGCCATAGCGTAACCAAAGCTCCGAGGTGCACACAGATGAGAAGGCGTGGCCCTGCAGGTGCCCGTCTTGTGGTGCACAGGCACGTGCATATGTGAACACATATGCGAATGCGCAGGTGTGCACGCTATTACTGCTAATACTGGTGCCAAGTGGCCTATATAAGTGCACCAGCTGCACTAGTAGATTGCTGTCTAATCTGCAGTTCTTTCTGTATCCCAGCGCCTGTTCCTGTACTTGATTCCTGTGTTTGACCAAGCTTGTCCTGACCATGTTTGAAGGCTACATGCACTGATCTCTACTTGCTTTTCTGCCTCTGCCTTCTGTCTTTGCCTGATTTGCCTCTACCGATGCTGACACTGGCCTGTGACTTGACTCCTCTTCTGCCTGCCGTTCATGCTTCATCTACATGTCTGCTACCAAACTGACTCATCTAACCTGCTACAGCTGCTCCTCAGTCCAGCATGCTCTCATCTGGCTCATCTGCCTGCTGCCAGCCTATTTGCTACCAGCCTTCACTGCTGTGCCATCTGCCTGCTGCCAGCCTATCTATCTGCTACCAGCCCACACTGCTGTGCCATCTGCCTGCTGCCAGCCTATCTGCTACCAGCCTTCACTGCAGCCATCTGCCTTGCCACTGCTGTGCCTTCACTGCTGTGCCATCTGCCTGCTACCAGTCTGCCCTTCTGTGCCACCCACCTGCTGCCAGACTGCCTTCTACCAGCCTGCCCTGCTGTGACATCTGCTGCCAGCTGCTCTGTTTCCTATCGTCCTTCCAGTGAGGTGTCAGCTACTCCCATGCAGACCACTGGACTGATCAGGCACTCTTACCTTGCCATGCTCTTGTGTACCACCCTAGGATCACTTAATTTATTAAATTCTTCCCTCTCCAGTGTGAGAGGAAGGGTAACACTCTCAAATGTAAACAGTACTAGTGTTTGCATTTGTGATCACTGTGATTGGCCATCACATCAATCTCTCAAGATACAGAGTTACTCTGATTGGCTTTGTGAATTTTAT